CACCCCACAGGTTTTATAGAGGATGTCTTGGTTCGGGTTGGTGAACTAATTTTTCCTGCTGATTTCTATGTTCTTGATATGGAGGAGGGATTTTCCCATGGTTCTGCCCCAATCATTTTGGGTAGACCATTTTTGAAAACAGCCCGGACTAAGATTGATGTTTATGTTGGCACCTTGTCTATGGAATTTGGTGATATTGTTGTTCATTTTAATATTTTGGATGCCATGAAATTTCCTTCTGAAGCTCATTCTATTTTTTGTGCTGAATTGATTGATGATTTAGTTGATGAACACATTCATGATTTTGATTCTTCTCATGCTAAGAAACATTCATTTTTATTTGATCTGTATAGCTGCCTTTCATGCATTGAGTTTGAGTTTGAGTCTAAATCTGAATGAGTCTGAATGTGAAATTGATTGTCATGAGGCATCTGAATTTGATACTTTGGGTGTTGTACCTCTTGGTCTTGATTTTATAGAGTCAGAATGCACTAACCATGTTGCAGGAAGTACAAAAGAATCTGACTTGCAAGTTAAGGTACAGGCTACGGAACCTCTTCTCCCTTCTTTGGTTCCTTTTGATGTTCAGCCAGCACCCACACCAAAGTTGAAGCCTTTTCCAGAGAACGTCAAGTATGCTTACTTGGAGGACGATAAGAGATTCCCTGTGATCATATCCACCTCCCTTGATGTTGATCAAGAAGAGAGGTTGTTGCATGTGCTCTAGAAGCACAAGAAGGCAATTGGTTGGACCCTGGCAGACATTCCTGGCATTAACCCATCCATGTGCATGCATAGGATACTATTAGAGGATGGAGCTAAACCAGTGAGACAGCCTCAAAGGAGACTTAACCCGGTGATTTTGGACGTTGTAAAGAAAGAGGTGACCAAGCTTCTACAAGCTGGGATCATTTATCCTATTTCAGATAGTCAATGGGTGAGTCCAGTCCAGGTGGTCCCCAAGAAGACAGGGCTCACTGTTGTTAAGAATGAGAAGGATGAGCTCATACCCACTAGTGTCCAAAACAGTTGGAGGGTCTGTATTGACTACCGGAGGCTCAACCAAGCGACAAGGAAGGATCACTTTCCTCTGCCCTTCATTGATCAGATGCTTGAGAGTCTGGCAGGTAAATCTCATTATTATTTTCTTGATGGTTTCTCTGGTTATTTTCATATTCATATTGCTCTTAAGGATCAGGAAAAGACCACATTCACCTGCCCCTTTGGCACTTTTGCCTATAAGAGGATGCCCTTTGGCCTATGCAATGCCCCTAGCACATTCCAGCAGTGCATGCTTAGTATTTTTAGTGATTTTCTTGAAAATTGCATAGAGGTGTTTATGGATGATTTTACTATTTATGGATCCTCTTTTGATGCATGTTTGGATAGTTTGGACAGAGTTATGAATAGCTGCATTGAGACTAACCTTGTTCTTAATTTTGAGAAATGTCATTTCATGGTTGAGCAGGGTATAGTTTTAGGGCATATCATTTCTAGTAGGGGCATTGAGGTAGACCCTACAAAATATCTGTTATTACACAACTGCCTTACCCCTCTTGCGTGCGAGGTGCGATCTTTTCTTGGCCATGTAGGTTTCTAGATGCGCTTCATTAAGGACTTCAGCAAGAAAGCTTTCCCACTATCCAGCTTGCTACAAAACGATATTGAATTTAATTTTTATGACAGGTGCAAGGAGGCGTTTGATTGCCTCAAGAGAGCCTTGACCACCACTCTTATCATTTAGGCACCAGAATGGAGAGTTCCCTTTGAGCTGATGTGCGATGCTTCAAATTATGCACTGGGGGTTGTCTTAGCACAAAGGGTTGACAAATTGCCTAGGGTGATATACTATGCTTCCAGGACATTGGATGATGCTCAAGCCAATTACACGACCACGGAAAAAGAACTTTTAGCTATTATTTTTGCACTTGATAAATTTTGATCATATTTGCTTGGTTCTCTTGTCGTTGTTTTTACAGATCATGCAGCTCTAAAGTACCTGTTGAAGAAGGCTGACTCAAAGCCTAGGCTGATAATATGGATGCTCTAGCTTCAAGAGTTTGACTTGGACTAAGGGGTATTTCAGCTTCAGGTGGGGTGTGGAGATGACCGCTCCCAGCTTATTCAATGTCGGCCGTCCGACTAGTATGCTGTAGGATGACTGAGCATTGACCACCAAGTATCGGACAGTGATAGTCTTCATGTGGTCTCCCTGGCCGAAAGTTGTCTCCAAGTCGGCATATCCTCTAGCTGTTACCTGATCACCTGCAAAACCAACTAATGTACCTATATACGACATAAGACGATCAGTCGGAATTTTCATACCAACAAAAGCTTCCCAAAATAGTATGTCTGCCGAGCTGCCTTGATCTACCAGTACGCGTTTCACGTTGTAACCCATGACTATCGCCGATACGACGATAGGGTCATCCTCATGGGGTGACACACCCTCAAAGTCGGCGTCCGAGAACGTGATGGCTGGCCGAGAGGGTCTCTCCCAACCGGAGACCGACAACACTGACCGAGAGTATCTCTTCCTTGCTGCTGAAGTCGGACCTCCACCAGCAAATCCCCCGGCTATGGTGTTGAAGTCTCCATGTACGGCTTGTTGATGAGTCTCTGCACTTTTTTCAGGAGGATCTCTCGGGGGAGATCTTCCTTCACGCCTTCCTGCTCTGGTGTTTTCTCCTTCACGCCTACGTCGCCTGTCGGACGGGCCCTCCTCCTGTTTACCTGCAATGAAATTTTTTAAGCGTCCTTCCTTGATGAGGCGCTCAATCTGTCGGCCGAGAACGAAGCAATTCTCGGTGGTGTGCCCATGGGTCCGGTGGAATTCGCACCAATCAGTTTTATAAGGCCCCAACTGTCTGTCGGTCGTCGCAGGGAACTCGAACAGTGATGCGCTATTGACGTCATGCAGCAGGTGTCGCCTGGGAACATTGAGCGGAGTGAACTTCTCCTCTTCCCTGTTTTGTCTCCACTCGGCTCTTGGCTGACCGACATGATCGGCCTGCCGGTAGTTATCCTCCTTTGTGTTGTAGCGATCGCGTCGCTTACTCCAATTTGACCGCGATCGGAGATGCTTGTTAGTTTCCTTGTTACTGCCTCCTGCCTCTCGGCTCTCCGCTGCTCTCTTACTGATCTGCCCCTCCTCCGTCTTAATGTGGCTTAGTGTGAAGGCTCTTACTTCCGACATCGTCTGGCAATTTGCTCTTTCTAGCGCGACGTCGAATGCACCAGACCTCAGACCCTTTTGGAATGCGATGACAGCCATCCTCTCGTCCAAAGATGCTATCTTCAAGGCGACTTCATTGAAACGCTGCAGGAAGTCCTTCAACGACTCCTCCCGTTGTTGCTTGTGGTCGAATAAGTCCGACGTAATCGGTGGCTTCTTCTTGTTCGCGGCGAACTGTGCCATGAAGAGCCGACTGAAAGCGTCGAAGTCGGTGATTGATCGATCAGGGAGGCCGCTGAACCAATCAAGTGCCGCCTTCTTGAGTGTTCCCATAAACAGTTTGCAACGGACTTCCATGCTCCCTCCGCAAATCAACATCTGAGCTCGGAAGTCCGTTAGATGTTGACTAGGATCCTGCAATCCATCGAAAGGCTTGACCTGTGGTATACGATGATCCCTAGGGATGGCCTCGGCTTCTATGGCTTCCAAGAAAGGCCGAAAATCCCTGGGGACTTCCAACACGACATCCTCCTCTGCTAGCCTGGTGCTGGCTTCTATTCTGGACTGTAACTCATCCGCTTTCCTCCTGATCTCTTCGTTTTCGCGCTGAATGGCCTCCTCTCTCTCCCTGGAGTGTGCATTATCCTCCCTTAGACCATTGATCATGGCCATCATCTCCTCCATGGTCGGTGGTTGCGAGTTGTTGTTATTGTTGTTGCCGCCTCTCGCCATGGTAAAGTGTAGGTTTTTTGTGTTGCTTGGGGCGTAGGAAGAGTTTCACCGTAGCCCCACGGTGGGTGCCAAAATGTTCTGGCCAAAGGGTGGACTAGGGTTTTTTCCTAGATCGTGCCTTAGAGCCAGAACATTCAAAAGTGTAATCTGCCTTCTCAACTCTAGGATTTTGGGTTTTATGGTGAGTTGTTCGTGGGCCTCTTGGACCCCGAGGATCAAGGGATTTTCCTAACCGTTCTTATCACGTCGATGCGGGATTAGCGGGAACGAACTCAGTCGGGATCCGACCGACAGGGCCTATACCGAAAGTCCAGCGAGGTACATGTCGAGAGGTCCCCTTGTAGGCGAGAAGAATCGAGCTTACCAGGTCAAGTCGGGCCATGACCGAATAGGCTCGTACTGAGCCCTCCTCCGGGTTGATGCCAAAAAGGAGATCGCGGTCGCCTTATTTCCGAGTGTCCCTAAGGCGAGAAGGTTTAGGGCCTGGAGGCCTAGTCGGGTAATTGCCGAGTGTAGGGACGTTAACACTCTATCACCATTAAGGAGATCAAGTCGGTCCATGACCGAGACGGTACAATATATCATAGTGTTCTGATTCTTACCAGCCAGAAACATTCGAATACAACATTCCAATAATTTAATATAGATATTTTCATTCTTTCAGTACGTAATATGTAACAACAACATGATTTTTTCTGTCATCAATTATTTACTTGTTCTCTTAAAAATTAGTTAAAATTTAAACACAGAGTTGAAACGAAAACATTTTATACGAAAGCGATTAGAACTAAGGCAGCCCATTACGTCACAGGTGAATTCTCTATATTATGTGTTCTGTTTCAATTGCAAACTACAAAATAAAAAATTCGACAACTGAAGTGAACGACTTTCAAGAGGCTCAAGATTCTCAGGTTTAGCCCCTTTACGTGAGAATTTTCAAATGAATCTAATTGCGTTGACAGCAAAGAATGTCGAATCACCGCAACAAGAAACCACGACTCAGCGATTATTTCAAAGATTCCTTAAAAAATGTCCAAAATTTGTAACCTTTTAAATTCAGAAGTTTACCCCACAAAACAGAATTTTGTTAAAAACCAACTATGAATTCAAGTTCAACTTCAAATTTTAATATGGTGGCTTTTGCCAAGCGACGCATCGCCTGGGTGGAACAACAAAGCAGACAATGCGTGGCAACTGAGTGCGGCATCCTTAGTGGGCCTACAGAGTGTTCCTGGGCTTGTGATTCTGTACGGCAGCATGGTAAAGAGAAAATGGGCGGTGAACTCGGCCTTCATGGCCCTGTACGCATTTGCCTGCGTGCTGATCTGTTGGGTTTTGTGGGCCCACCGCATGGCGTTCGGTGCGAAGCTTTTGCCGTTGGTGGGAAAGCCCAACCACGCTCTGGCGGGGAAGTTTCTCCTTGCGAAGTCAACGATTGGGTATTTCCCGATGGCTGACTTTGTGTTCTATCAAATAATGTTTCAAAATTATGAGTATATGCATACACTCCTATAAGATGTACTTTTACCTAATATACTAGAGTTTATTGTTGGTGTAAGTTTTTATACTATTAATTAATTAAAATGGAGTTTTTATATTATTATTTATTATAAAAAATAATTAAATTGTCATACAAAACAATATATGATTGGATTGGATGACATATGTCTGTAATAAGGGCCATAAAAGAATTATAATATGAGCATACAATGGGGAGGGAGAGTGATCTTGCGAGTCAGTGATCCTCCCTCGTTGACTTCTCTAGTGCCAATGAGACTCATTTTTAGTTGAGTTCCATCTTGAAAGATGAAAAAACCCTTCCTCTCCTATTTAGAAATCTTTTTGCATTAAAATTATGATTTTGTTATCCAATAATCTTTTGCTTTTGATTGGAACATATATAATTCAGTTTTATATTATTTTCATGATATTTCAATTTATATACAATTAGTTAAACATTTAAAAGTAGTTTATGCAAACAAATTAATTAAAAATGTTACTTGCGAAAACTATATTTTAAATAAAAGTTCCTATCCACAAATGGCTTATAAATTCACTTTTAACCAATTGTTAGAGAGAAATGGTTTGTTTGCAGAGTCCTCATGAAACATGTAACTAATAAATGTGGATGAATGGGTGGCAGGTTGGTCCAAGAATTTCACATGACCGACAAAACTTTCCACCAAATAACATAATTCACATGCTTGGAGGTGCAGGGTTTTTGTGGATGGGTTGGACAGGGTTTAACGGTGGAGCTCCATTCCAAGTGGGAGAAATCGCATCGTTGGCCATCTTCAATACCCATTTATGCACTGCCACAAGCTTACTTGTTTGGCTTACACTCGACATGATTGTGTATACCAAGAGCTTAGTCATAGGTGCCGTCCAAGGAATGATTACTGGCCTCGTTTGCATCACATCAGGCGCAGGTAATAAATTAAACCTCGCATGTACACATACCACTCCTAAATCCTAATCAAACCAATAATGTCATGGCTTGTGGTAGAAGTTACGTATCATATGCTTACACGTTATAAACACAGAATTTGATCCTATGCGAAAATTCGTCGGATCAATGATAATCTAGAAAAGATCTAAACACTTCATAATGAGGGGCCAAATTTTTTTTTCCTTCTAATTTTATAATTATTTAAATATTTGACTTCAAATAATGTAGTACAATAGTTAAAGCTTACAAATAATAAAAAAAACACTTTTAGAATTTCACAATATTGTATTCATTATATGTCGTTTTTCACAATTTATTTTTAGTTAAATATATTTTTATAATAATTTTATATTAAATGTATTTTATATTCACTATAAAAAATGAAATTTTCAAGTGAAGGGCCAAGGCCCTTACCTGCCCCTCTACATCTGTTCCTAAGTTATATATAGTGTCATGAATGGATATATAGGTAGAAAATCAGTCTTTTACGCCACTGTTTTCTTGTCGGTCAAAACAAAAAAAAATCGACGTAAAAAAGATGCGGTGACATTTTTGTAATTTTTGTGAACTTTTTTACGTCAGACTTGATAAGGTCCGACATAAAATGTAAAATCTACGTCAGATGTATCTTGTGTCCGATGTAAAGTTTACATTTTACGTCGGACTTCTATTATATCCAACGTAAAAAAGGTTTCTATTTACACACCCACATTGCAAGCAAAGGTGCAAGAGGCGGAGGGTGTCCCGTGCATGGAGGTCGCACCTGGCGTCGGGGACTTGGAGCCTGAGCCGCGAGCAGGGGAGCCAGCTCCTCGCGCAACAGTTTCGGCTGCATCCACAAGGAGGAGAAGCGCAAGTACTGGGTTTGGAGAACCATTCACGATGGCAACAAGAAGAAGCTTGATTTGCCCTACGCCTTTTGTGCCTAGAAGTTCACCTGGGATCTCCACTCTGCCTTTTGCTTGCGACGCGGCTTTGGCTTCCACGACGATGGCGAGCCTGTCGTTCGGGCTTACGTTTGTGAGAACGGTCACGTTTCCTTTTCCCATGTACACTTAATTGCAAGTTTCCTTTTTTATGTATTTTTCATTTCCTTTTCCCTGTCTACTTTCCATCTTCACTACTACTTGTTCTATTCTTCATTTTTTTTTAATATTATTATTTTAAATCTTCTGCGCCCTCTCATTTCTTCTACATCTGGAACGGGTCGTTTTATAACCAAAACGGCCCATTCTGCTTGCAGTCATTGTGTGTTAATTGTCCATCTGGAACGGGCTGTTCTGCAACCAGAACGGGACGTTCTAGATGGATAATTAACACACAATGACTGAGAGCATAACGGGTCATTCTGGTTACAGAACGGCCCGTTCTAGATGCATTAAATTTGTGCCATCACAATTTTACGTCGGTTCTTGGCATGCCCGACGTAAATTTACATCGACCATCACAACCGATGTAAATTTACGTCTCCCGCATCAACGTCGGAGGTTTTTCCGACTTAAAACCCCTAAAATAACAGACATAAAATGTACATTCTGTACTAGTGATAATATGATCTAATGAATTAGGGGATATCCTAGTCACCCTTTCAAAAATAAAAATAAAATTAAAGAGTGATTAAAAGTGAACAAATGTTAACGTATACATAGGCTAAAATACCTTTGGATATATTATTTTATTTATTTAGTGTTAGATTGGGATTTAAACCTTTTGTTTGTGCATGTGAAAAGGATTGGTGGATTCATGGGCAGCAGTATTGATGGGAGCTTTGTCTGGTTCCATTCCATGGTATACTATGATGGTGTTACATAAAAAATCAGCATTCTTTCAAAGTGTGGATGATACACTAGGAGTTTTTCACACTCATGCTGTGGCTGGTCTTCTTGGGGGACTCCTTTCTGGAGTCTTTGCCAAACCTAAGCTTCTAAGACTAATGTATCCCGAGTTGCCTTATTACCCTGGCTTATTCTACAGCTTTTTTGATGCGAAATTGGGTCTTGGCTTTAGGCAAATAGGGTTCCAATTACTAGGAGCAGGTTTTGTTGTTGTTTGGAATGTCCTTGTTACTAGACTCATTTGTATTCTTATAAGTCGTATCGTGGATCTTAGGATGCAAGAAGAGGATCTTGAGGTTGGTGATGATGCTGCTCACGGGGAAGAAGCATATGCATTATGGGGTGATGGAGAGAGAATGAGGGTTACTCTTCGTCTTCATATAAGTCCAACTATTCCTTCCTTGTGTCGGAGAAAGTTTTCAATTCCTCTCACTAGGAATGAAGAAGAATAGATGTTGCATTTTCCTTGGATTCTAGTTCCTATGTTATGATGAGTTTGATAAAAGGAATTGGAAGAATTTTTGCAAATATGATTTGGTTGTTTTGTAAAAATTTGATTGTGCAAATTGTATCGTTAAGGTGTAAAAGTATTGAGCTTAATTTCATTTGAACTCGAAATTAGATCCGTTG